TGCCCTCTTCCGGCTGAAATGAAAATAAAAAAGTGGCCACTGCATTATGATTCATGCAGTGTGTTTCATGCCACTCTGAGGAAAATGCAGGCAGAAACAGGAAGAATGGGAGCACCTGAAAATCAGGTAAAGAAATGAAGAGTCGGTTCCTCAGAAATGGGTCCTGGTTGCAGGGACAAGGACACTCACGTGGGGTGGAGGTCCCAGTTATCATCTTGTCTTCTCCCTAAGCAGATCAGAGTCTTGTCTCCAGAGACCCCTGTGTGCCAAGCTGCTAAAGGACTCTGGTGGGAGCAGGGGTCATGTTCAGCCTCTCTTCCTGTTCCAGTTTCTATCAGTAATCCATCCTTCCTAGAAGTGTTTTTTTTTCACCTCCTATCTGTAAGTTCGCAGATGACACAAAGTTAGGTGGAAGTGTTGATCTGCTGGTGGGTAGGGAGGCTCTGCAGAGGGAACTGGATAAGCTGGACTGATGGGCTCAGGCCAACTGTATGAGGTTCAAGGCCAAGAGCCAGGTCCTGCACTTAGGTCACAAAAACCCAGCAGTGCTACAGGCTTGGGGAGGAGTGGCTGGAGAGCTGTCTGGTGGAAAAGGACCTGGGGGTGTTGATCAAGAGCTGGCTAAACATGAGCCAGCAGTGTGCCCAGGGGGACAAGAAGGCCAACAACATCCTGGCCTGCGTCAGAAACAGTGTGACCAGCAGGACAGGGAAAGTGATTTTCCCCTTGTACTCAGTGCTGGGGAGGCTGCACCTCAAATCCTGTGTTCACTTTTGGGCCCCTCACTACAAGTGGGACATTGAGGTGCTTAAGTGAGTTCCAGAGGAGGGCAATGAAGTTGGTGAAGGGTCTCGAGAATGTGTCTTATGAGGAGTGGCTGAGAGAAGTGGGATTGTTCAGTCTGGAGAAAAGGAGGCTGAGGGGAGACCATATCACTCTCTAAAACTACCTGAAATGAGGTTCTAGAGAGGTGGCGATCTGTCTGTTCAACCTAGTAACAAGTGACAGGACAAGAGGAAATGGCCTCAGGTTGCTCCAGGGGAGGTTTAGATGGGATGTTAGGAAAAATTTCTTCATGGGAGGGGTTACTAAGCATTGACACAGACTGCCCAGGGAAGTGGTGGAGCCATCACCCCTGGAGATATTTAAAAGACATGTAGATGTGGTGCTTAAAGGTACGGTTTAGTGGTGGACTTGGCAGTGCTACATTAATGATTGGACTTGGTGATCTTAAAGGTGTTTTCCAACCTAAAAATTTCTTTTATTCTATTATTCTAAGTGTCCTAAAAATAGGTTCACAATCCAGGTGGGCTGAGTGCTGGATTTGAATCTCCTTCCTGCCTAGAGAATCATTTAATTTTAAAGTATTATGAGGTATCCGTGACCTCTTCCTGTGGAAGTTCTTCCACTTTGCATGAAATACTCAAGTATTATTTGAAGCAGAGAGTGGGAATGGCTCTTTTTCTTCCTCTGTTAGTAGTTTCATGAGTTTGATTTCCTATCTAGATAAAACTATTTATTTGGTGAACATAGATACAGAAATAATTAATGCTGACACTGAACCTCTCAATTAATACATTTATCATCTTCTTTCCCTTTTCTTTTTTGCATATCCCTGAAGAAAATAAGGCCTCTCCAAAAGACACTTAGAACTAAATGCAGAATTCCATATTTAACGTGCAATTTAGCCATCTTGATGAGATTGACTAAAAGCATCTGGCCAAGCAGAATGGCAGTATGGAAAGATCAGTCTAAAATATATAAAATATAAACTTCACCAGATGAAGTACACCTTACACAGAACACAGTCATACTTCTCAAGTTGCAGTCAGAAGTTACAAGCGATGTCAATGCTGTCAAGTGGTCACAACCATTTACTTGCACAATCTGGGGAACTTTAATGCTGAAAAGCAGCACAACCAGATCTCCTTAGCTGGCACAGATCCTAAGCAAGACAAACTTTGTACCAGGAAAGAAACGGCCCAATTCCTAGGGTCACCCACTGGGACATACTCCTTTTTGTTACACGAATGTCTTTCAAAACATGTGGCTTCATTCATTCATTCAAAGGCACTTGAGTGACATGTGTGGGATTGCCACGTACAGCCTCGCTTCAGTAAGATCACTGCTGTTCCTATCTACCTACCTTTCCTACCTACCTTCGCTTTTCCTATTCAGCTCTTTCTTTTTGAACACCTACCTCCAGACTCAGGCAAGGAGATGGGCAAGAAAATAGAGAAGAAGGAGGATGCCAAAGCAATTGGAAGTCCAAGATGTGAAGATCGTTACTGTAGCAGTGAAGTCCTCCTTGGCCAGTCATAACTCATCTCCTTTCTGCCCTGCTCAACAGTGTAGCCACCCTACTATGCAGCCATGACATTTATTAGTTTAAACAACATCAGCTGAAGTTTTACATGCTCAGGCATGGCAGGAGTATATGCTATGGCCTCAAAACAGTCCCTGCATTCAGTGGAGGCTTCAGCACTTGTCTGCTCCCACAACAGCTTTTCTCTTCAGAAGTGGAAGCACTACAGTGACATACAAAAGCTCACACTTTCACAGTGAAGTTACCAGTACCGGCATCCTGTGTAGGAATGCCTGATGGACGACTGGAATTCTTGAAATTATAAGCCTAAAACTCAGCATTTAGTACACAGGGATGAGGAATGAAGACTGGAATGGGAACGGGTTTTCTTGTGCTGGGGATATGATGGTCCAGTCTTACTGGAGATGCTGTGCAGTGATACACTATGAACCGTGCAGCCTGTGGCAGCAGGCACAGCGACGCTGAAACTTGCTTCTGCTGCTCTTGGTGCCACCTGGTAAATCAGCAACTACTGCAGGCATAGCATTGGATTTAGCAAGGACTGTCAGCAAGGATTTAGCTAGATCTACAAACATATTACCCATTACTGCAGAGCCATTATGGTCTACCAGTCGCATATTAATGCACTGTAAAACTAGCAATAAAATTTATTTACACAGTCAAGCAATGCTTATTGTCCATCTGGCAAGGAATGTGTGATGCAAAGCTGCATAAACATATACTAAGAAAGAGGCCATTATAGCTCATGTTTTCTTGTGTGAAGAAAACTGTGAGTAACATTGCACGTACATGAAAAAGCTAAGTCATAAAAAGAGCAGTTAAATCACAGAAACGCTTAATAACTATAAACCACAACTGCATTAGGAAAGGACTTAATCACCTACTTAGAAAAAAAACGAGGAAATCAAACAAGCATGCAAGGCCATCACATTTTTGATGCTCCTGAGTTCAGACACCCTCAGTTTGCTTTGGACTCATCAGCGACCATGGCTTTCCGCATGACAGAAACCAAGAGGTGCACCATGCAGGATTTAGCAAACGTCGCTGCAGAAAGCACTTGACGGGGCAGTATCTGGGCAGGAGGAGCTCTCCTGGATATTGAGCTCAGTGCTGGGGGGGTTACCCACCACCCTGGCTCCCATGGGCAGCAGGGAAGGGAAGGCAGGGAGAAGGGAGAGGCTGTCACTGGGGTATGAGTGTCACAGGCAGGTAGGCAGCGGTCTTATCTGCAACCTCTGACTTTTTGCTATCTGTGGCAGAAGTGTTTGTATGGGAAATCTGTCTAGGAAAATGAAAGGGAAAGTTTTGCTTCCTTTCAAAGAATATTTCCTTCTGGGTTTAGAAATTCTCTCTTCCCCTCCTCCTTTCCAATTTTGATATCCCTTTCTATCAACAATAGTTGAATTTTTTTTTTCTCGGGTGGAATCAAAAGACAACTTTCTCAATATTTGGCTCTTGATAATAATAACATTACAAAAAGCTACAGGCATATACAGAATTTTACAAACATCTACATACAATAGGTGGACTGAGCAGTATGTACCTGATCCCAGTACGTAGCTGGTATTATTGATAGCACTATTTTTTATCTTTGCCTCCTGACATACATCAAAATCTGGTAAAACTGTATTCATATTAACAAAAATCAAGCTTGCTGACAAATTTAATCCAAAGAATCTAGCTTCTTACATCAATAAATAAGTGAAAAATTACATTAGAGTTCGCATTCAACATCTATTTCATTCCAGAAAACATGCTCAACTTGAGGGAATAGTGCTTATAAACAAGAGTTGGAGAAAGATGACCATAAAGACATGCTTAAATACTTTGCTGTAGGGCATAGAGGCTTGCAGGGTCAAATCTCTCCCACGTGCTGTTCCATTTCAGTGCACAATTTAGTCCCAGTCGATCTAAATGGAGACTATGTTCCCTTATTAGTACACTCGATCTGCTTAGGCAGAAATATGGCTACAATTTCATAACCTAGAAACAGAGTTGAACTTCTAGCATTTATGTAAGATTGTAGAATAAATAGCCTATAGCAGGGAGTCTAAGCAAAATACTCTATGCCTTTCTGCATAGCCTGAGGTACAGAGCACTAGCAGTTTCACAGCTGCCATTTTAGAGACAGCTTCTTCTAGTCTAATTAGCATTTATGGATCTTCAAGCAGCAATTAAAAAAAACTGCCTAGGTCTTATTGGTTTATAAATAATTCTAAGGCATGCTTTATTATTGTTTGTGGGACACCGGAGTGAAAAATGTACACAGTTCAAACGCAAATATTGATCTAATTTCTTGCATTGTAGGATAATTAAGCTACAGAGAATATTTAAAGAGATAAATAGTGAATTAGAACATTCCTTTGGTGGGAAAAGACATGTTTATGCTAATGCTGTCCCCACTTTTTAAAGGCTGCTCCTAGGAATACAGCCTGCTTTCATATTTTAGCAATGAATGTTATAAGAAATTGCTTTTTATAGTGGGAAAGGGGCTACTGTGATGTAATGGGAACCAAGCTACTACAGGAGTAAGGAACATTGCACACATAAAATGTAGCCAGGACTCTAAGCTGTATAAATTACTACAAAAAGGAAACTTTACTACCTTTCTCACAGTTATGATGCCAACTTGGTAGTTAGGATCAGTGTTAATATCAAAGACATCCAGTCCATCTCCATCCACAAGGCTGTATTTCATCTCCGCGTTAATGCCTTCGTCCAGGTCTTTGGCAACCACGCGGCCCACGGTGGAGCTGATGGGAGCTGACTCCAGCACACTCATCTGATAATGCTCTGGCATAGAGAGGGAGAGGGTAGCAAGGAAAGAAAAAATAGAGTTTAAAAAAATGCTGTGAAAAGGAACCGAAAACTGCACAAGAGTTGCTCAAGGCGGGCCACAATGCTGCAGGGTCTGCAGGTTCTCTCTAGTACCTTTCCCAAAGTGGCAACAGTGCGGTGATTTCCTTTAAAAAGCCAGAGCCTGACTATATTGCCTGGGAAACTTTTATTTAGGTGTTTGTCATATCAACAGGTTTGTTGAACAGGTTCTTTTCAAAACAGCAACATACCTGGAAAGGGGAACTTCAGCTAGAAAAATAAGGCAGGGAACATCAGTGCTGTTCCAGCCATGATGTAAAGCAGGATATGAAATAGAGTTAATAGGACAGACACCTTCATTATATCATCTTGCACAGTGGGAATAAACAGAAGAGTTTTGAGCACCACAAATCTTTTCTGAAGTCCACACGAACTTCTTTTCAGCCCTGAACAAGGCTTTGGAGCTCAGAATCTCCCCTGTTCCTTCCAAACTTATCAGTTGCTCTATTAAAATATACTACTTCTCCCTACAAACCCTGAGAGCATTTGATGCATCACTAATTTGCTTAGCAGCAAGCCCGCTATTTAAAAGCATGTTTTAAAAACATAAATGCTGTATCTAAAATACTCCTCTGCTATTATACTTTATGTTCAAACCTTCCTTGTTGCACTCTCTCTGTTGATTCCACCAATTATTGAGCTTTATAAGGCAGAATAACACCAAGGATAGGGTTTGTTCTATTCTCATTTTTTCTTAATCAGGAGTTTGATATCAAACAGTTACAATTCACATCACTTTCGAAACAGGATCAGCAATGGTGCAATCAGTAAGTTGCTCTGACAGAAGAAAAGTGGAAGTTGAGACTTCTTGCTGATCTTGTAAGTGGGATAGTTTGATGTAGCAGTGCAACATGCAGGAATAGAACAAAAAGAACAGCAACAAAAAGAACTGCAGGAGTTTTAGTTTCTCAGCTAGTTGAGAAAAATGGCAAAACCAAAATGGCTTGAGACTGATCCACACCACCAAAGAATCAGCGTTCTTTAAAAAAAAATGTATATCTCTGGAAAGATTTAGTTCAATCAAACTTGAAAAGCTTCTGTCAGATTTTTAACATTAGCATAGAATTACGTAGATAAATTTTATCTAAAAAAAATAAATTGAAAATAAGGAGCAAAATGTTGCAAATCTTTGAGATTGACCTTTGTGAATATGAAGTAATGTTTTTGATAAGCATGAAGTTGCCTATTTTTGCACTCCATTAACTGTGGCTGCTACTTATCTTAGGGTGTAACTGCATATTGCCAAGGTTTAGACGAACCTTTCCTGGAGAGCAGCCTGTATGACAATGCATTCTACACTGGCAGCACAGCTACCAGATGCTCCCCTACAGGGGCCTGACTGGACTGTTCAATGGATCTTTCAACTTCCAGCACTGCCACATGTCCTTGATTTGACAGACATTCTTTTGGAGATAGGATGAAAAGAGAATCAAGGCAGCAATTAGCAGCCAAAGGCAATGGCCGTGAGCAATCTAGGAACACAAAAGCTCTTCTCTCCTGGATGATTGTGGAGGTCAGAAACTTTTTTTTCTGAAAGACAAAGGTGGTGAATGCTCCATCTTGACGTTTTCTGAAGGAGAGTTCCTTCTTCAACCTGAAATTCTGCCCATCTTCAGTCGTCACTGTTCTGAGTTTGAAAATGGCTGCAGTGAGAGCAAAGAGCAGTCACACAACTCAGGCATCCCTTTTTTTTTCGGCCAGTCCTGGCATAACGGGTACTCACTCTGTGGAAATCTGGGTGGATTGTCATTGACGTCAGAGAGGGTGATGTTGACTGTGGTTGTTCCAGCTAATCCTCCCAGCTGTCCCCCCATATCCTTGGCCTGGATAATCACTTCATAATATTCTTTTGCTTCTCGGTCCATGTTCATTAGAGCAGTTCTGATTAAGCCTGGGATTGAGCAGGGAAAGGGGTTTTTGGGAACAGAAGAAATAGCAGTTAAAGAATACACAAACCAGGTGGAGTGCTCTTGCTCCTGCCTCGTATTCCCTATGTCGAGACCAGTTTCTGCATCCAGTCTCACCTTTCCTGGCCGAGTAAAACTCACTCAAATTAAATCTAGGTTAACAGAAGGTGTGAATTTTAAAGAAGCTCTGTTAAAATGCATCAGCTCTGGGGCAGGCCGTCTGCTCAAAATCAAAATGTTGCCTTCCAAGGGAGCTGGAGGAGCATTTTGGGAACAAAGTGTGCTCCCTGCTCCGGAGAGCTATGCCTGCACAAAGGTGGAAGTGATGTGATTAGTTAAAAGATACCTGAAGGCAAGTTTTCCAGCGTCCCTATGATGCAGTCCTGGAGGCAAACCGACAGAAACCCACGGGCTTTGCTCGGGTCCTTCGGCACCCACGCTGGGGGCTACGGGAGCAGAATTTGGGGATATACCAGGTTGCTCTCGAACGCGGGGCGGTCAACCCCGCCCCCCCAACCCTGCGGAGCGTCCCTTTCCTT